CAGTGGTAAAGCGACCCTGGGTTCAATTCATAGTTCCAAAGAAATAAAGAAAAGAAAAGAAAAAGAAACTGTCAAGCTTATTCTAGGTGTAATAAGCCATGTTAGGATCCCCTGGGGGGGGGGGGGACAGGGGAGAGGTTGCCTCTGAATACAAGGTACCCTCAATCTAATGTGAAGGTTGCTAGGGTAGGGACAAGAGGAAGGAATGGATAGAAAAGCCACTGTTCCCCAGGGCAGAAGGAGACACCCAGGAAAGCAGTACCATCAGAGCATTTCTTGAGCACTTAGCAAAGGCCAGTCACTGTTCTGTGCATTTGACAGGTCTAGATGGGTACTGCCATCAATGCTCTCAACTGCTAGGGTGAACTACACAGATCACAAATACGGAGGAATTCTGATTCATCGTTAGAAGGAGCAGGTGAGCCAGACATAGTGTCACCTACCTGTAAGTCCCAGCACTTAGGAGCCTAAGGCAGGACCATCACTTGACACCAGGAGTTTGAGACTAGCCTGGGCAACATAGTGAGACCCTGTCTCAAACAAAAACAAAACGAAAAAAGGGCTGGGGTAGAGCTTAGTGGTAGAGCACTTGCCTTGCATGTGCAAGGCCTGGATTCAATCCCCCAAACCACAAAAAAAAAAAAAAAAAAAAAGTCAAAAATAAAAATAAACAAGAGGTATCTGTTGGGATATGAGCCTGGGGATGCCTTTGTCCTGAGGACTGAAGATTATGCCAGACTTCTCTCAGGATCTTTCCAAACCAACGTTCCCTTCTCTTCTGTAAGCTAAGACCAGGAGCCCCTGGGCCTCCAGGGGACCACTGCTTCCCCTTTGCCCGTGACAGGGAACACAGTGAGGTTAGTATGTTCTTGTGAAATCTGGGAAGTGCGTAAGAGCCCAGGCAGGCAGTTGCTTTCTGCAGCAGAACAACGTTCTTAGAAGGATGTTGTTCACCAGTTGCCAAAACCAGAGAGCTCCGGTGACTTGCTCAAACCCACAGAGCAACTGCTTGGGGGAAGGCAGAAGTCACCTTGCAACCCCCGAGTGCCCATGCTGGGTACAAGATCTGCCAAGAATCCACCAGCTAAGGTCCACTAGCATCTGGGACCTTCACCGCTCTCCCCACCCTCTGTTTCCTCCTGAGCATCCACTCTTCCCTAAGGCTGGTGGCACTTCTTCCAGTTCAGAGTCATGGCCAAGGCTGTTGGAAGAATGGCAAAGGTGGTCAGCAAAGTGGGGCAGGTTTGGAGATGGCTCTATTTCCCTTTTCTTCCTACACTTGTATCCCCAAAAGGCCAAATCTCAAATACTTGATTATGATTAAAATTTTTGAAATTTGAAAATCTTTATTTTACAATACACATATGTACCAGGCATGGTGAGTGGTGCATACCTGTAATTCCAGTGACTCAGGAGGCTAAGGCAGGAGGATCACACGTTCAAGGCCAGGCTGGGCAGATTAGACCCCATCTCAAAATAAAAAAATTAAAAGGACTGGGGATGTAGCTCAGTGATGGAGCATCTAGTCTTTAGAATGTTTTATCCCCCGTACTACCACCAAACAACATCATCATCATCATCATCATCATCATCATCATATCATCATCATTTGCTCTCCTGCCCCAGAAATATAGATGGAGTGCAAACATGAGCAGCTCAGCTCCTGCACAGAGGAGCCGTGATTTCAAGCTGGTTTCAAAGGTTGGGGACCAATATGTTTGAATTTCATCACACACTCCACCAGCTGCCCTGAGTACCTACCTACAGGGTCCTGTACCCATCCTCAGGGGCTAAGATAGCACACCTACTACTTGATCCAAGAGAAGAAATCTGGAGGCAGTGGGTTGAAATGGAAATAGAAATAGAGTTATTATAATAACCAGAAAATATGAATCTAAAAATCCATCGGGAAAAAACAAGTACTTTTAGGTGAGTTAAAGCTACTACTCACTTGCACTCTGTTGATTTGAGGTGTGGGATACAATATTAGATGACATTGGAGCTCAGAGTGACCAAATGAATTTTTTTTCTCTCTTTGAGGATTAAACTAGAAGAAAGTCTGTCCAATGCTGGCAGGTCTTTAACACCTCTGTTATTAATCTCACCTTTCAACAAATAGAAAAATAGACCTAGAGACTTGGCAGTTTAGCAGACAATGGTGGCTAAAATGTAAGAGTATTGGTTTTTGATTTTATTAAGTTTTCAGTTATCTCCTATCAATGGCAGGTGAGGCTGTCTTATCAGTTTCTAGAACTTTGCTTCCATGGACCTGGTGTCACCTGAGAGTGAGAAATGCAGATTCCTGGGTCTGGCTCAGGATCTCCTGCTGCAGTCTGGCTGGGCAAAATAACCGGGAGGTGACAAGCAACTTGAAGGTTGAAGCAGGAACTGCTTTATTGCGGGAGAACTCAGCGGGAACTGAGCGAGAACTCAAGGTAGCAGGAATCCAAGGTAGCGGGGACCGCTTTATTGCGGAACAGCAGAGGTATATATACCTAACTGATTACACACAGCTTGACTCAATTAGCATCATCTAGATACAGCAGTCAGCCAATAAGGAATCCCACCATCGAAATGGCTCGGCGGCGTTGCCTCACAAACCACTCCTCCTGGCAAACTGCCAGGTGCCACCTTGACTTGATTTGCGGTCCCCAACAATCTCCTGCCTCAGAGCCTGCATCTTTGAGATCCCAGGTGATGCTCTTGCTCAATAATGTGTAAGAACAGAGCGATCCACCTAGTTTTAGGGGAAGGCCCCTCCCATTTCAAAGGTCTTCAATGGATGGATTGGCAGAGGCAGCAGCATTCAATACTGGTTGGAAGCCAAGCTCTGGGGTCCTGCTGGACTTGCCTCCTGGTCCTGTCCCTATGGGCCATCTGATCTGGAGCAAATAACTCAATCTCTCTGCACCACTGTCTCCTCGGGGACAATGAGAATAATAAGGGCATTTGCATTACAGGGTTGTCAAGGTTACATGAGAAAATAGACCTAAGGCTGTTAACATGATGCTTGGCCCAGAGTGAGCACCTTATGCATATTAATTAGCCATAGTGGCCTTTAGCTCCCAGTGGCTTTCACACACCCATTGGTTGGCTATTGTTACTTTTAACATATAGAAAACATATGCAGCCATATTTCCATGCTTTTAAGCTTCTAAAAAGCTTCTATAATCATAAAAAAAAAATGGATGCCCCGGAGTGACCCAGGAGGTACTCATACAATTATCATTCTTCTTTGACTGTCGCCTGCATTCTGTGGGCAGGGAGACTTTGGGGGACTGAAGGATGGCCATTGGCTGACCAGTAGAGCTGGCCCCACCTCTGCTCTCCTTCAGCCACTCCCAGGCCTTCAATGGTCACTCTTGGGAGCTCTTTGAAGCCTTTGAACAGCAAGAGCTGGAGATACTATGACTGAGATAAGAGCCTCTCAGTGTGGGGTATCTCAGCCAGGCAAGGAGATTGGACTATTTTTGTATTCTATAAATAATGTTCATATGTGGCAAAAGAAAAAAGTAGTAAATTCAGGAAGTCAGTAACCTAGAGGAGAAAATGGGATTTTTCCCCCTCCCACATCATTGACTGGGAGACAGTCCATCAGACTGCATTGAAGAAAATGAGGGGGTGAGCTCTCATTTTTCACCTTTTCCCAGCAAAGAGGACCCCAGGAATCTGCATTTCTCACTTCTTGTTTTCATAGTTGGTTTTCACAAGGAAACAGAGACTATCAGATTAATGGAGATCAGGATGGATGATCCCTTATCTAAGGACGATGTGGGGGCAGCTGGCACTGTCTTCTGGAGCTGGAAGGAATGACAGGTTGTCTGAAGGACAAATTGGAAGCGCTCTCCAAAAATCACAAATACATGCCCTTTAAGCCAGCAATGTAACCAGAGAAATGCCCCCTCAGAGAGACATACCTTGGGGTGTAAAATGAGGAATGGAAGGTAATTCTTTGCACCATTGTAATGGGGGAAATTTGGAAACAATCTAAATATCCATTAGTAAGGACTTTTAAATAAATTACAGTTCTTCCAAACAAGACAACGCTATGCAGCCATTAAAAAGAATGTATTCTGGGATGGGGGTGTAGCTCAGTGGTAGAGTGTTTGCCTCATGTGTGTGTATGTGTGTGTGTTTGTGTGTGTGTGTATAATTTAAAAGAAAATAATGTAATCTATCTCTATAAACTGATGTAGAATAATTCTCAAGATGTAGTAAGTACTGTGCTAAAGCAAGGGAGGGAGTGATCCATATTTATTTTACAAATACAACCATGCTCCATATAACAATATTTCAGCAGATGATGGACCCAATATGCAATGGTGATCCCATGAGATTATCTCACCTAGTGACATCAAAGCCATCTTGGTGTTTGTAAGGGACATTCTGTGCTGTTCACACAACTGCATAGATTGATGTCACATTACTCAGGACATATCCTCATCATTAATCAACACATAACTATATGAAATACGGCTGGAAGGAGGTGAGAGAAATGGGAAACAGGAGAACTGTTTAATTAGGGCACAAGGAGAAAAGGAGATTGTCTACCATCTAGTCTTTAGAAGGTTATTTCGTTTGCATTCTATGTCTAAACTAAATAGAACTTTTTTACGTACTGGTGAGGAAGCCAGTAAAGAAGAGGGATTTGTTGTTGGTGGTGGTGGTGGTGGTATGGGGATTGAACTCAGGGATGCTTGACCACTGAGCCACATCCCCAGCCCTTTTTAATATTTTATTTAGAGACAGGATTGCTAAATTGCTTAGGGCCTCATTAAGTTGTTAAGGCTGACCTTGAACTCACAATCCTCCTGCCTCAGCCTCCCAAGCCCTTTGGATACAGGCATGCCCCACCACACCCCGCTGAGGAGGGGGATTTTTAAATTGGACAGGGTGTTTCCTCTGGTTAGAGGCAATCAGGGGATTAGGAAACCTGGGAAGGGAGAGGGATCCAGGCTCCTGACTCATCCTTGCTCACCCTGAGACCTGCCTCTCCACAGCAACACACAGAGGTGGCCTGCGTGTCCCAGACCCAGGAAGAGAAGCTGGCCGCTACCCTCAGGGTAGAGTTACACAACACTTCGTGCCAAGTCCAGAGCCTCCAGGCCGAGACGGAATCCTTACGGGCTCTGGTAAGTGGCCAAGAAGAGCCCTGGCATTGCTTGTGTTAATTATAACTCTCGACTGACAGACTTTAATCATGCACATGGGTCACGGTTTGCAAAGGAATCCCATCTCACGGTACACGACTTTGGAGTCTGAAAGGTCTTCTGACTCCCAAGGATCATCAAAGATTGAATCCTAACAAGTACAGTGGACACCGTAGTGCCCACCAAGACATCCCTTAGTAGGATGCTGCTGGGAATGTTGGTGGCTAACACCCACAGCTGCCCCTTTTCAGCAGCCTCATCCCCAGAGAATGGCCATTCATCAGACAGAAGAATCCTGACCCCAGAGGTCAGGATTGACCTGACCTGACAGGGGGGTGTAAAAGCCCAGCCCACTTGCTCCAAGGTGGAAAGGTTCACACTCCAGAGCTTTCCAGCTGAGCCAGGTCCCGACTCAGCACCTTCCCCTTCCCTGTTCTGCTTTCCTCTCCCCTCCTTTTCCTGAGAACAATCTGTTATTTATAGGAGGAGGAATGACAGGTTGTCTGAAATTCCAAAATCCTTGTCCCAGGCTCTAGTTCTGAAGAACTCAGCCTAAGACCTGCTCCCAGACTCATTGTGCTCTGCAGGCGGGACTCTTGCAGTTAATTAATTTTTATGAAAGTCATTATAGTCAGTCCTCTGTACCCACAGGTCCCACATCAGTGGATCCAACTAAACCTGGACTGAAAATATTCTGAAAACAAAAATTGCACCTGTACTGCATATGTACGTTTTTTTTTTTCTTGTTGCATCCTAAACAATACAGTATAACAAAAATGCACAGAGCATGTACATGGGTTAGGGATAAAAGACAGGAGGGTTGCATAAGTTATATGCAAATACGACACCATTTTCCTTAAGGGACGTGGGCATCCACAGATTTTGGTCTCCCCAGCTGTCCTGAAACCATCCCCCTGCAGACACCAGTGGCCACCTGTGTTAATAATGCTGCAGTCCCCAAAGGACTGAAGTTCTATTGGGGTGAGTCAGGCATAGCTCCTCCAAGGTGCCACTTCCGGGAGCCCTTGTATTGCTCTACCCTCAAGCACTGTCGGTGCACGTCCGAGTGTGTAAAGGAGTTGGTGCATGTGATCCTCGTGCAGCTGAGAGGCTCTGGAGTCCAGCAAGGCCAATAACAGGATCTGCGTCAAGGCAAGGGGATGCGAGGAAAGGATCTGAGGGCAGCAAAAGCAAGAGTAACGAATCAGCCAGGTGTGCTCCACCGCTCAGCACCTATGTAAATGGCCAATTCCTGCATCATATTTTCCCTTCTGCAAGACGGGGGTGAAGTCACGATCCACCCACTTCTCAGTGTTTCCGGGAGGATCCCATGAGAGAATGCACATGCACGTGCTCTTCCTACTCCACGCCTCACACTGAAAGACGTATTAGATTCCTAGAACTGAACCAAGTGCTTTGAGGACACAAGACTAATTAGTCCCCAAGGGACTTCAGTGGAGGAACTGATATAACCCCAGAAATGAGAGAGCTCGGCATGGAAGTGGGTGGCAGGTAGGGTGATCACCCCCACGTGGAAGGGAGTCAGCCGCAGGCCTCCTGGTCAGTGTGGCAGAGAAGGTAGAGATGGGCGGAGTTAGGGCTGGGGTCTGCAGGGCTCCATGCACCACGGCGTCCACCTCTGACTCTACTTTTCTAGTAGGTACAGCAGTCCTATGGGATTGGGGACTGCTGCTCAGATGCTAGAGGGGGTGTGGCTGTGTGACCCCCTCTAAGCCTCAAGTGAGGGTCTACTCTGTTTGGCATATCTATCTGGTGGCTTATGACAATAGGGAATCATTTGTTCCCTCCTCCTGTGATTTAGGCAGAGTTCTGCGGGGATAGCTCTTCTCTGTTCCAAGGGCACCTGTCAGGGCTGGGACACCCAGGAGTGGCTTCTTCAACTCACATGTGTGGTGGTTCGGTTACGCATCTCCTTCTCTAGCTGTGTGACCTCTCCGGGTAGCTAGCTGGGGTCTCTCATCTCATAGAGTCTCAAAGCCTCAAAAGTCTACTTGGACTTCTGATGTGGCATCTGGCTTCCCTCAGAGATGGAGCACAGAAGCTACCAGGCCTCTTGACACTTGGGTTTCAAAGTCCCTGAATATGGCTCAGACCCACATTCTCTTGATGAAAGCAATGACAAGACCAGCCAGCTCCAACAGGAAAGGAGATAAACCTCCCTCTTGATGGAATAGCAGTGACAAGGTCACATTGAGAAAGACCGTGTGGGATGGTGATAATGGTAGCAGCTGCCTTTGGAAATGTGATCCACTGTAAGATCAGAATAGTGATTTACCTCATGAAGTGACCAGAAGGATTCGTTAGGTAATGCATGTCAAGCCCTAGTGCTGTGCCCAACACAGAGGGGTCAGTCAATAAATGGCATCTATTATAATTTATCATATAAAATTATAACTAATAGTTCAGTTACCCCGAGTTGGCATGATCAGCCACCCGGTGACCTCATTTAGACCCTTTGGTCCTAACTTTTGGGACAAATGTGCACCCCAAGTCCCCACTGCCCACCTAAACTTCAGATGGCCATGCTGGCTGGACTTTCAGTCCTCTTTGCCACAAATGCAAGCCCCAATGCTGCAGACTGAAGTCTACTCAACATTCACTAAACCAGGACTGGGAGGAAGTCAGGCACAAAAGCCACAGACAGGTGCCATTTTGCTTTCTGGAGGGTTTAGAAATCCAACAAGTCCCTTCAAGTCTCCAGAGACCTGGGGACTAAGTGATCTTCTGTGAGTTCAGTCCCCTGCTGCGGAGCTGTGGATGAGGTGAAGCAGAAGAGACAGAAGCCCGGACCTGGGCTCTGGACACGCACTGTGCTTGCTGTGTGGGGAATGTTCACAGAAGCAGGGAGATGAGCAAAGAGGCCACTAAACTGACCCCAGGAGAAAGGTGATCCTGGGTCCTGGAGTCTGGGAAGGAGAAGACACAAATGTGAAAATCTCCCAGCCCATACAGGAGGGAAGCCCCAGAGAGAGTGATGATTGCATTTCCAAGGGAAGAAAGAGCTTTGAGCTCCCACTGATTCAAAACCCAGGGGGCCAACAGATTCTGAAGGAAACCACAAGGCGCCATTTGGAATACCTTGATCTGAGGTCTGAGAATATATTTCCAGGAAGAAGTTCAGTACCGCCCACAGCTGGGGGGACAGGGTGCCAGAGGTTCCCAGGCAGGAGTCATCAGCCTAGGGAAGACCACTAAAATTTCAAATGAGGTGAGAGATCAACCAGCCGCACCCCAGGCTGGTGGCTCAGAGGGGGTGGGGCTCAGTGAGAAGCCCACAGTGAACGAGCTGGAACATGCTACTGAAATACTAGAAGGAAATGCTGAGCGTGGAAGGCCAGAGACTCCATTCCAACTGCAGTGATCTGGGAGAGGGCGCTGGAGGACACGGGTTCTAACCTAAGGATGGATGGCCCGGCCTCAGGCACTAGAGGGCAAGGGCTCCTGCAGGCATTCCAGGAAGAGAGGAGATTTTTCTTTGAAAAACATCTTGTGAGTCCTCTCTTCTCTCTCCTTTCCTTCCTCTTTCCCCCACCCCTGCCTTTTTTCCTTTCTTCCCCCTCCTTGCCATTAAATATATATATGCACAGATAGATGGACAGACAGATCGAATCACACTAGACCAAACCCTGGCCTCCTGACAATTCTAGATTTTTCCGTGAGTCCTAGGAGACGTTTGCCCATCAGTATCCAAACAGTCAAGGCCATTGTCCTGAGGACTGGGCAGCCCCGGCCAAGGCAGCCCAACCCTCCTCCCGCTCTGCACCCCCGCCCCTCCAGGACCCGGCCTGTCCGCCCTGGGCGTGAACCAGGTTGCTCTTTCGTAGAAACGAGGCCTGGAGAACACCCTGCATGACGCCAAGCACTGGCACGACATGGAGCTACAGAACCTGGGCGCCGTGGTGGGCCGACTGGAGGCCGAGCTCCGCGAGATCCGCACGGAGGCCGAGCAGCAGCAGCAGGAGCGCTCGCACCTGCTGGCCCGCAAGTGCCAGCTGCAGAAGGACGTGGCGTCCTACCACGCCCTGCTGGACCGGGAGGAGAGCGGGTACGTGGCGGCTCCTCTTCACGCACAGGGAATGCACATGCGTGCATTAAACATTATTTTTTTCCCCAAACTTTATACCAGTCATTAAGGGTGTGGTGGCACATACCTGCAATCCCAAGGGCTTAGGAGGCTGAGGCAGGAGGATCTCAAGTTCAAAGCCAGCCTCAGCAATTTGGAGAGGCCCTAAGGAACTCAGCAAGGTCCTGTCTCTAAATAAAACGCAAAAAAAAAAAAAAAATCTGGGGATGTTGCTTAGTGGTTAAGTGCCCTGGGCTCAATACCAGTACAAAAAAAGGAAGGAAGGGAGGGAGGGAGGATGGATTAAGATTAAAAGGAAAAAAAATCACTCGGGAGCTCCCTCCATCCACACCACACTCACATTCCCACTCCCATAGTTTAGCTGTGTTCTTGCAGGATTTTTCTATTCACACTCATATATTTTTTCACATATACATACATGTATATTATATATGCATGTGTAGATGTATATGTACTTTTGTGTGTGTGCCCCTGGGAATTGAATCCAGAGACCCTATACCACTGAGTTAACATCCCCAGTCCTTTTTATTTTTTTTTATTTTTTATTTTGAGAGTCTCCCTGTTTATTTCAGAGTCTCAAAAATAGGGGATGTAGGCTGTTCAATGATTTCACTAAGGACTCCAGCTCTTTCCATCTTTCCAACATAACACAATATCTTGGCTTTTTTTTTTGGTCTTCATCTTTGTTACCCCGTGGTTGCCCAAATGCCTGCCACAGCTCCAGACATCACATCCTTATTCATGGCCAAAAGAAGAGAGAGGGAAGAGGCAGCAGCAAAAACTCTTACCCCTGAGTGGCTCTCTCTTTTTATCAGTGAAGAAAAAAAAATTTTTTTTGAGAAGGTGTCCAGCGAAGCTGTTCATGTTTCCATACCTACCTGCAAGAGACACTAGGAAGGCAACTGGCTATTCCAGTCTTGGTAGTGAAGGCAGGCCAGGCACTGGGAATGGCACTTGGGCTGGCCAGCACAGGGTCTGCCATCATCACATGCCCCCCACACATGAATACATGAACACATATGCAGTCTTTTCTTAATAGATAAGGATTCCAGAGTCATCCACGTCAGTGTGGGGCTTAGCTCCATCCCAAACTCCCTCCAGAAATCCAGGACTTTATTTATTGATTGTTTTCATAGTTCTGTAGCCTCCTATGTCCCTCCAGGGTCCCATATATTGGAAAAAGGAGCAGGACAGAAGCTCTAAGGGACAGTTAGGGATCATGCAGCTCACCGCCCCCCTCCCCATAAAGAGAATGCCCAGGCCCTGGCTGGAAGAGATGGGTGAACCATGACATGCAGGGGAGAAGCAGAACCAGGACTAGAGCCAGGTCCCCCGGTCACTCCAGCAGTGTGTCAGCTCTGCCTTGGGAGGGAAATCAAGAGAGCCACATGGAAGTCACCTAACCTTAACCCACAGGCTCCCTTCCAACCATCTTCTCATCGAATGGCTTTCTTGGGGTTATAAAAGCCAGATGTTCCTAACAAAGCTAATTCTTTCGAATGCCTGTGAACATCTGAGTAAATACACAGAGTCATTTTAGACAAACACCAGGAGTAGTGAGTAAGGCTGAATCCACTCCAGGAACGTGAAGTGCTCCACTTGGTGAGTGCCTGCCCTGCCGCCTGCGAAGCCCTAACTCCTGTTATCTTCATTTCTCCCCCCAAATCCTCCAGGACTGCATCCCATCATCCCCACTGTACAGACAGGAAACAAAGTCTCAGAGAGGTTAAATCATCTGCCCCAGGTCACACAGCAAAAGGCCATGGAACAGGGATTTAAAACCCAGCACAATTTTTCTAAATTCTTTCCCATCTGCCTTTCCCGTAATCCTATTATTGTGATAATGTTACCAGTGTGCTTCACCGATGGCTTCTGATTCACATGTGTTTCTTTTCAGCTAGTGGAGAAACTTCCTCCTGTACTTTCTCACCAACTGAATGGATGCTGCTTGGGGAGTTCCAGTTCCTGCTGGATTCTCTAGTTGGTTCAGTGAGAGCTGAAAAATCTTCCTGGAAATGGAGGGGGGCCGTCCTTCTGATTTCATTTAAGTAGCCTGTAGCTTGAGCAACCTCCCTGGTCCTTCTCCAAATAAATGCTTTGTGTGCAGCCTCTAGTTCTGCCTCCTGGGTTTAATCACCAGTGGGTGGACGCATCACTTTTCTTTTTCTTTTTCTTTTTTAAAACCTGTTGATGCTTGGGATGGAACCCAGAGCTCTGAGCATGCTAAGCATTCACTACTCTACCACGAAGCCACACCCCCAGCCCAGGGAGCCATTCTTGCAGGTTTCTGGAAGGTTCTTTGAATGTGATACCATCTGCCTCCTCATCAAAGGTCAACCATTCTTGGGTCTATCAACATCCAAGGGCTGCTTGGGCAAAAGTCATAGCATGCAGAGGGCACAACGGGGTGGAGGTGGGGGCAAAACACCCCCACTTTTGCTGGAGAGGGATTAGCCCAGTGCTTGATTGCATGTGTCATGATGACGGGTGTCACAGTGTCCCCAGACCTCTCTCAGGTGCTCTGCATGAGTACTGAAGTGCAGACCCACAGAGGAGTTGGCTCATGGTTGAGTCACTCTCAGCCATGAAACCGGTGGGAGACTAACTAGGTTGTGGTTGTACTGCCCTCTTGGCCTCAGAATTTTCTTCCAGGGTCCCTTCCCAGCCCTCTCAGGTAGGGGGACTTGGGCCAGTTAAATATAGTTTGTGCATCTGCCCCCAACCCAGGCCAGCTCTCCTCCTGCCTTCTGATTAAAATTGAAACCACCACCTGCATCCTATCGTGCCTCTAAAACCACAAAAGAAAAAAAAAAAAGAAAGAAAGCCCAACCTCAACCTTAATGTCTGAATCCTTCCCCTCAAGTTGCTGTCCGTCTTAGTCAAGTTTCATGCAGAATTAGACCAACCTATCCAAACACAGTCTTTGTCCCGTGAGCTACCAATCCAGACAGAGGCAGGTACCCAAAATACAGGCACAGTTGAAGTCCTCCGTACCTGAGGTTCCAGATCACCAAGGCTGACCAAGCAAAAGAAACCTTGTTTATTTGATTGATTGATTGATTGATCTGTTTGTTTGTTTGTTTTTAAGAGAGAGAGAGAGAATTTCAATATTTATTTTTCAGTTTTCGGCGGACACAACATCTTTGTTTGTATGTGGTGCTGAGGATCAAACCCGGGCCCCACACATACCAGGTGAGCGCGATACCGCTTGAGCCACATCCCCAGCCCTGTTTGTTTGTTTAAATGAATAAAAAAAAAGAAGCAAAGCAAGAAATGGGGCTGGAATTGTTCCACCTGGCTTTCCTTTCTAGTCTGCAGGATCAAAGGAATTGTATTAATAAGTGACAGGGGCAGAATGGCTTTTCACAGTGCAGAATGGCTTTTTACAGCATGCACAACACCTCTACATAATTCAGTTTGTCATCTGAGGCTCGGCTTTCGGCAAGAGGCCACCTAATGCGACAGCATCCATTTCTCCTCCGCAGCTGCCTGGTAACTGCACACCTGGGTACAAGGGCAGCTCCCAAAGACAAACGCTGCTGGCCCAGCTATGTTGGATGCACTGGACACCGAGGGCGCTCTCTTTGCTTGTTTTCCTGTTACTGTGATTGTTGCCCCAGCCAAAACCTAAATCCCAGGGTCCGCCATCAAAGGGAGGTAATTGTGTGTCTCAATAGCCATGCATGTTGCAAAACCCAGAATCTATCTAGCCATGGAGGGGAGAATGGATGTGCACTCTCCAGTTTCCCCCAGACAGCACGCTGCGCAGAGCTGCACACCCTCAAAGAGCAGCTGCTGTCAATCATTCAGTTAATCACCCTTTGGCAAGGAGAACTATGGTGGCCTGGAGCTTCCAGTTTTCAGCGCAGGCTCTAGCTGTTTCTAATGAGGCTTCATTAACAGGTAGGAAAAGGCACTGCTGCCCCCCCCCCCCCCGACTTGGCCAGGGCCTTATTTAAACCAGATTTCCTCTCACAACATCCTGGTACAATTACCCTTTGGCAGCATTCACTGACAGGTGGTAAGGGAGGTGGCTGCTGATGTTGGGGTCAAGGACACAGCATTTGTTCTGGAGCAGACCAGAGAATAGCCTCCAACCAACTCTGGATAAGCCAGGGTTGACCTCTCTTTCCACACCAGGCAACCCCATTGGTCTCCGGCCTTACTTCTAGAACACAGTGTGAACTCCCAGAGAGATTGTTGGGACATCCACTGGCTTTCAGACCCCATTTTCTTTTATACCAAAGTCCTTAAATCTCACCCTCATGATCATCTGTAACACTTCTTGGCATGCATTGGTGCCCAGGTGGACTATAGGGACACCAATATAAAGGACAGTTCCTGCTTTTTTGGGGTTTACAATCCTGGTAGGGATTCCAGACGTGCCTATAAAAGGGTCAAAATGAGGGATAAACAAGGCAAAACAGGTACAGCAGCATATTACAGTTTGCACGACTCCTTCATAAAATTCATTATGTCATCAAAGACATGAAAATAGACATTGATGGGCTGGGGTGCAGCTCAGTGTTAAAGTGCTTGCCTCGCATGTGGGAGGCCCTGGGTCCAATCCCCAGCACTGCAGAAGAAAAAGAGAGAAAGAAAACAGGCATCCAAATCTAACCTCAGTTGCTTTTCGGCAAGATGATTCAGTAAGAACCATCCAGCACCATGCAGCTCTCTGATTATGTCTAAACGCCCCACAGATATTCTTTAATGAACCCTTAAACCATCTCACCTATTTTGAGAAACACTGGGTTGACTCTTCAGGGGCAAATCTAAGATCTTCTCTGGGGATTTCCAGACTCAGCAAATAAAAATGGAGGATGCAGGCTAGGGCTAGAGCTCAGTTGGTGGAATGCTTGCTTGTATGCACATGCACCCTGGATTCAATCCCTAGCACCACACACACACACACACACACACACACACACACACAGGAGGATGCCCAGATTAATTTGGATTTCAGAAAAACAATGAATTAATTTTTAGCACGACAATAGCCCACATGCTTCATGAGATATACCAAAAAATTATCCAGCAACCTTAGTAAGATCAGACAGAAACACTCCACACTTTGTACCTCCCACAATGTTCTCTAACCCCATGTGATAGGTGAAGGATCGGCCAGGACAACCCAACAGAAGCACAGAAAGGGGTGACTTAGACTGTGTCCTTGCCCAGTCTCCATTGGGAATCGTCCCCTGACACAACAGCACACAAGTGTTCAAGAGAGAAATCTGCTAGCAGAGTGAAGAAATAAAGCAAGCTGTTTTCTCAGCTGAAGGGACTGGCTTAATTAGATCATATACACTGGTTATTCTGAACAAAAGGTTGAACAGGACCGGGAATAGATCCCAGCATCGATGGGTTGCAATGCAAAGTCAACAGAAAACCTAATTTTCCCTGACACGCCCAAAAGGAAATTCTGCGCCATTTTCTTTCACTCCTCCAGCAAGTGGAAGGTAATTTACACCATGGGGAGTCAGGCTCTTAGATTAAATCTGAGATTGGACCCAAAAGCCACCTTGCATCTTAGGGGAAGGGATTTTCAAAGCAGATGAACAACTAACTACTGAATTCCTTTGGCCAAGTCAGAAGTGCTTTGTTTTTGTTTTCTGCAACTAGAGTTCTTATTGACATTCGAGACAGGAAAAAATGTATGAGATTCAATGCACAAAGCTGTGGATGTAGCTCTGAGGTGAAGCAGTTGCCTAGCATGCATGAGATGAGGCCCCAGATTTGGTCCCCAGCACCACCAAAAAATAAAATAAATAGATAAATAGACCTAACACAATTTAAAACTCAAAAGACTAGCTGGCAAAGCTAACTAGATTATGAAGGCAAGTTGTTGCAACTTTATGATTATCAGTGGTGCTTTGAGTGTTGGAGAGGTAAACAAAGGAGGAGAGACAGGAAATCAAGAGACTGGTCTGAGGTCAGCCCTTGCCATTGAGCTGATGGTGAGCCAGAGAAGAACATGGGGGAGAGAGGGTGATTTGTCACCCTGAGGAAGTGGCATTGCAGCTTTACATACTATTTTGGGAATTCAGTCCTAGAGAAAAAAACTCCCTCCAAGAGTAGATCCTCTTCCTCCATAAATATTTATGCAACTTTTACATGGTCTTATGTTAAGTGACTTTTTTTTTCCAGTACCAGAGATTGAGCCCTGGGGTACAATACTACTAAGTTATACCCCAGACCTTGTTTATTTTTATTTTTTTTATTTTAAATATTTTTAGTTGTAGATGGACACAATACCTTTATTTTATTTATTTATTTTTATGTGCAACTGAGGATCAAACCCAGAGCCTCACAAGTGCCAGGCAAGCACTCTGCCACTGAGCTACAGCCCCAACCGTGTTTATTTTTATTTTGAGACAGGGTCTCTCTAAGTTGCTGAGGCTAGCTTCGAACTTTCAATCCTCCTGCCTCAGCCTCCTGAGTTGCTGGGATCACAGATGTGCATCACCATACCCAGCTAGGAGCCACATTTTTATAAAGAGGGAAATAAACAGGTGAAAATGACTTTAATAATACATTTTAATTATCTCATCCTATCAAAGATCTTATCATTTCATCGTTATTTTTTTAAAAATCTATATTTTAAAATCATTAATGAGATATTTTACTTTGGGTGAGGTGCTAAGTCTTCTAATCTGTATTTTACCCTGATAGCCAATCTCAATTCAGATACTATATCTTCATCTCAAATACTTGATCTATACATATTAAGATTTCATAAAATTTTTACTTAAATACAGTAGACTCACATATCCAAGTTATTTCATACTTAAAAGTTTTCCTGAATTTAGGACCCCCCAAATTGTTTTCCTTTGATATTCACGATCAAATTGACATAACTGGTTCACCTTTTTTAGAAGAATTCATTTGACTTTGAAGCAAACGGATATCAGTTTCAAAACTTCACCTGTCCAAGTTAAGTAACTCCTGGTAACCCAGTGTTACCAACATCATGATCAAAGACGTATTACGTATATTGAAAATAAACTCTGAATTTTCAATATAAATAAAACCTTTTGAGTTTTTCTTATGAGTTTGACAGGACAAATGTTTTATGCTGCTTTGGGTGTTTTGGAGTTTTGTCTGTTTGTTTTTGTGGGTTTGTCTGTTTTATTTTGTCTTGTCTTTTTGCAGTGCTGGGGATGAAATCCAGGACCTCACACACTCCAAGCAAGGACTCTACCACTGAGCCATATCTCTAGCCCTTATGTTGCTTCAATATCAAAATTTCGCATCCATGAAAATTAGATAACATTTAAAATTCAGTTTCTCAGTCACACTGGTCACATTTCAAGAGCTCCAGAGCCACACGTGGACAGTGGCTGCTATAGCATATGGTACAAGCAGAAGTTGTGTAGAATAAGGTGGAAAGTGCGATGGGTTTGGGAGGTTGATCTGTATGTGGGAATGATTGAAGCCATATGGTGAGGTTATTTATGAGAAATCCTTACTTTCCCCCCAATTTCTCTGAAATTCCCCGCAGGCAGGCAGGTAGCTATCCCACCTATAAAACTGCCATTCCAACAGCTCCACTGGCTCCTACTTGGCTTGGGCAACCCTTCCACTCTCCTGCACTGCTTGCCATAACCAGCTCTTCTGGAAGAGTTCATGAACAGAGCTGAGTCACTGATGACCTAGGTCTTCCATGTCAGGCAACACCCCTCTCTCCCTCTCTTCCTTAATCTAATGCAATCCCTGGGAGGGGCGAGCTGAATCCACACAGGCAGCATGAACTCACAGCTAGGCCCTGCCCACTCACCTGGTCCAGTCTGCCACTTTCTTCTCTCCCTAGTGGTGAGGGCCCATAGCCTCACCCTCAGTCTGGCTTCGGTCCCTCAGTTGGAGGGACTCACCTCCAACCACTTCCGGTCTTCA